TGAAGCTGGAGTCAGTGCATCAAGAGTCACAATGCTCAGACGTCTTCAGGAAAAGGGCTATCAAGCCACTTCTGAAACAGAAACAACGTCAGAAGCATCTTACCTGGGCCAAGGAGAAAAAAGAACTGGACTGTGGCTCAGTGCTCCAAAGTCCTCTTTTCAGAGAAAAGTACATTTTCCATTTCATTTGGAAATCAAGGTCTGGAGTCTGGAGGAAGACTGGAGAGGCACATAATCCAAGCTGCTTGAAGTCCAGTGTGAAGTTTCCGAGGTCAGTGATGATTTGGGGTGCCGTGACGTCTGCTGGTGTTGGTCCATTGTGTTTTATCAAGTCTAAAGTCAATGCAGCCATCTACCAGGAGATTTGGGAGCATGCTATGCTTTCTTCTGCTTACAAGCTTTATGGAGATGTTGATTTCCTTTTCCAGGAGGACTTTAGCACCTGCCCACAGGGCACTTCCAAGTGGTTTGCTGACCATGATATCACTGTGCTTGATTGGCCCAACCAACATGCCTGACCTAAACCCCATATGGAATCTATGGGATATTTTCAAGAAAAAGATAAGAAACCGTCGATCCGAGCTGAAGGCTCAATAGTGCCTCAGCAGTGCCACAGGCTGATAGTTTCCATGCCACACCTCACTGATGCTGGAGTTTGTGGTAAAGGAGCAAGTATTGAGTGCATAAATGAACATACTTTAAAGAACTTGAACTTTTCTGTTTTGCAAATCCTTTTTTTGATTGATCTTAGGAAATATTATAATATTTTGAGATACTGGATTTTTGACTTTCATGAGCTGCAAGCGCTAATCATCAAAATAAAATAAAAAAACTAGGGGTGCTCCGATTGATCGGCTACCGATCATCATCGGCCAATAATCACGTTGGGATGATTGAACAGATCTCAAACTGATGACGCTGCCATGAGAGGTCTGGCATGACATGTAGCATCACCGTCTCAGTCTCTGTCGGCGCAGGTGAAATCATTATAAAGCTGAAGGTGAGGTACTCGCCTTCATATTTCTTCATTAGATAACTTTTAAAGTAATTTGAAAACATTGTGTGAGACGTAATTTCACAAACAGCGAGAGTGAATGACCGCGCACGCGCTCTCTCAAAATAGCAAATGTCTTCAAATCACCACATCGCGTCTGTCTATTTAGCGAGCTGCACGCTACACAGTTGACAAGAATTGTCACTTGCACAATCGAGGCAGTGTCACATCGTCACTAAAGTTTATAAATTGCAATACTTTTTCATTCTTGCCAGTGTTTAACCATTCAGCGCTCGCGCGCTCTCCTGGAGACCGTGCGCTCACGCACACTCGCAGCGCACGCACATAATGCCAGGTTCACATTACTCCGTTTGCAGTGCATATGTGGTGCATATTTTTTCCTTGCTCATGTTAACGGATTAATAAAGCGCGCACACTGCACACCTTTGCTGTTCGGCAGTGCGTTCCACGAGCGGTGCGTCTGCAGCAGTGCAGAGTCTATTTTTGCTGTGCTGCAAGCGCTGAATTAAAGTAACAGCGCATTTTTGCAGTAAATATGAACATGTCATGGATTGACACGAAAATGTAGTAATTACACCACAAATGCATATTTTTAAAGTCTACTGTGTTTCCCAGTCAACACATATGGCTTTTTGGCTAGGTTTAAAGGGAAAGAGCACTTTTAGATAAACAAGGCAATAATAGATTGCAGGTAGGAAAACAAAGTTCTTTATGAACTGCAGGATTGCATTTAATAAAGATTTAAATGCAAAAGGAAAGGCAGTAGAGCTGACTATTTCTGTCAATGGTAAGTTTGTGATAACGTAAGAAAAGTAGTTTAAATGTTTTGCCACTTGCTTGAGCAACTTAATATCTAAAGTAAATGCAAAAGTAAAAAGCATTGAATGTGTTGCTTATGTTTATTGTTTAAACATGTCTTTGAAAGATTGTATTACTGTGTATCGGTGATCAGTATCGGCAGATACTGCTTTCTGTGATCGGCCTCAAAAATCCTGATCGGAGCACCCCTACAAAAAACCTATATACACATACATATATATATATATATATACACACACACACACACACACATAACATTTATATGTACACAGCTACTCCATAAACGTAATGAAGATCCAGTGGACCACAATGGAAAGGTCAAGCTATTCAGTATTGCCCGATGATCTGACTCCACTGTTCAGCGAAATTTGCTGGGCTCTGATTGCGGGCATATGATGTGGCATTTACTATGCAAGCAGACACAGAAGTATGAGTGTGTGTGTTCGTATGAGCTCCACATGTAGGGGTTCAAAGCGAAGCTCAAATGTCCATGGCATTGGTGTCCAAATCTAATTCATTTTCCCCCCTACTGGTCCGAGGCACTGGTTCAGTTTGATAAGGCCACAGCCAGGTACTGTGGACTGCCACTTTCCTATGTGTGTGCGTGTGTGTGTGTGTGTGTGTGTGAGAACACGCAAGACACATACACAGAACACAAACCTGCAGGACCGTGGCCAGGATATCAACGTAGTTGCTTTCGGTTTGGTAGAGCTCCTTGGAAACCTGCCAGCGTGCTGACTGCTTAGGAAGGGCGGGAGTTGAGCTTTTGGGAAATCTGGCATTCTCTAAAACACATAAGCAGAGATGCAGGGATGAGCAGCTGTAAATCGCACACTGTTACTTCTTATCCTCAGATATGTTTCATCCCTTTTCTCAAAATATCTGTTCGAAAATCTGATTTAAAAAAAAAGTTATATAAATGTGTCAAATTGTGCAAGGTTTCAAGTACAAATGAATGATAGAGGAATTAAAAGCAATGTTCCATGTTCAACAACAACAAAAATGTATCAAATCAATCATTCAGAGCACATTGTAAAGAGTAAAATGCACTGATGCATCAGTTAATCTTAATTCATTTCTGTTTTAAGAAAAATCATATGCATGTTTAGTAAAGCTGATGCAATTCAATTAAGTTATTTTTTTATTTTATTAATGTGTTATTGTTAAGTCAATCTAACTATTTTCTGTGGTTATCCACATTATGCCACAAATGAAATAGAATAAAAGAAAAAAAATAACAAACACATAACTTACTTTTGAAGAGAAATTGACATGAGCAACCGTTTCTACATTTAGTGAAAAGACTATGTTAATGGAATAGATTAATGTTTGTATTCATCCTAAACCCTGGGCTAAAGTTACCATGAATGTCACCTGTCTGGTCTGTTTCCTTGCTGCACACAGGAGTGCTGATACGCTGCAGTGGCCTCTCTTTCTCTGATCTATTCTGTCTGGCACTCCTCCGCCTACCACTGCTCCTCCTGCGCTTGCGTTCTGCAAAAGACAGCGGCCTCACTCATCTAAAACACACTCTGACTGCTCTCCTGGTTCATCTCAGCCATGGCTGGGATCAACCTGGACCTCTGAGATCAAAGTCTGGAGAGCTTTGGAACGCTCACATAATGCAGTTGGAATTTTGCTACATTTTCAGATAACCAAACCAGTTTTTTCTTTTCTGAAAACTGAAGGTTAGAACATTTTCTGTTTGTTTGACTAACCCATGGAAGACATGGGGAGTGTTCTATTATTTGGTTGCTAGTCACACGTCATATCAGATCATTCATTTTACCTCCGCTGGACTTGCAGGTGTCAGGTGTGTTGGAGATGTCCAGCAGGGAGCCCATGGAGAGGGAGTGTTCAGCCGAGGGTCTTTTGCGTGGTGGGAAGGGAGAAATCTCGGTCTCCTTGGTGAGCTGAGCCAAAGTTTCTCTAAGACGGCGACGTTTGCGGCCACTGTTGGGTGTTGTGAGAGACAGCAGAGACACGGCCATCTTCATCGCAGGACTCTCAGGCTAAGAGGAAGACACAGTGACAACAGATATTAGTGTTTTGCTTTTTATGAAGCTGTAAAATCAATTACATTTCTTTACTAAACTTGAACTGTATTCAGAAGACCAACTACTGAAAACAAACAAACACATTATTACTATCAGTGAGGAAATTACGTAGGGAACCAATCTGACATTAAAACTTTTCCTCTTATTTTCGACTAATTCTTTAAAACCTTAAAAAAAGAATGATCCCTTTTATGAAATGCATCATGGGATACTTTTTAAACTATACTTAAGGAATAAGGTCCATAATTTTTTCCTTTTTAACATTATTATGCAGGGGGAAAAAAAGTATAAAATATAATTTGCTTTTTAGTTTACTTCCGCAACGCAAATGCTGTCATTTTCCTGGTTACCTCACCTTTTCGTAAGAGTACATGGTTTCCCCAGCACGGGCGTCCATTTGTATACTGCCCCAAAACCACTACAGAAAGACACAGAAGGAGAAATAAAATGAGAAGTTAATATACATTCATTTAAAATACTTCAGTTGAACCTTTTACTAACACCTTTAAAGGGGTCATATGACGTTGCTAAAAAGAACATTATGTTGTGTATTTGGTGTAATGCAATGCGTTTATGTGGTTTAAGGTTAAAAAAACACATTATTTTCCACATACTGTACATTATTGTTGCTCCTCTATGCCCCGCCTTTCTGAAACGCGTCGATTTTTACAAAGCTCATCGTTCTGAAAAGCGAGGTGTGCTGTGATTGGCCAGCTATCCAGTGTGTTGTGATTGGCTGAATACCTCAAGCGTGTCCTTGCAAAATACAAGGTTGTCCTTGTAAAGTTGGAACTGCCCCACTTTATAGAACAGCCTTTGAGCACAGACCCATTGTAGGCTACTCTGCAGGTTCAGGAAACAGTCCTCCATAAAATGCGTCACACACTGCGGGCTAGAGTGAGCGGCGGCCGGCGGGCTTGAGAAGTTTTGTAAAACTTATGGTGGACCCCCAAGAAAAATGGTTCCCAAACTTTTTGACTCCAACACTTTGCCCAAGACAATATTGACAATATTAGTGCTGCTAAATATTTAAATCATTTTAAGACTCATTGAGGCCCCTATGGAAGTCAGATCCCATTTTAAAAGCCCTGGCAAAAAACCATAACCAAATAGATAGCTGGCTTTTTCAGGGTTTCTGCAAGTTTTATGAAGGCAAATTTAAGATTTTAAGAACTTTGTAAGAGCAAGTAAAGAAAATTTAAGAAATAAATTGAAGGAACATTATACATCATTATGTTCTCTAAATGTAAATGTAATTTCTCTATTGTCATAGATTGAGCGGCACCCGGCGGGCTTGAGAACGGCGCAGCCGGTGGATTCGACGAAGGAGCGGCCGGCGGGCTTGCGGCAATCACATGTAACGACCCCGGGCTGGACTCCACTTCGTCCACGGTGAAAGCCGATCCGGCGATCCACAGCGCGAAGTTGATGTATTCCCTCAGCGACCAGCACGGATCAGCTTTAGGCATGACGAAGCGGATATCGTCCTCTTTTGGAAGGCCAAACAAAGTAGTTTTGCTTTCCCAACGAAACACACAGCATCTCCACAACAAGGCGGCGGCAACAACAATACTACAGCGAGAATAAAAGTTATGCTTTCTTTCTTTGCGTGAACATTTGGGCAGTGTTACGCAAATGTTCCCACATCGTGACGTAGACATGTGGGGGCGTGTTTAAACAAGACGTTTTAGGTAGGCGTGGTTGAGTCTTAACTTTTATAAAGAATATCTCTTTGGATTTGAGACTTTAGTCTTTGCAACTTTACAGATCTTCTTTATGCACCAAGAGCTCGTAACACTTCAAAGAAAAAGGAAAAAATGAAATCGCATCATATGACCCCTTTAAATAAATTCTGATGCATTTATGGTCGTAACTGAGCTGACGTGTGCCAAAAAAAGACTCCCACTCCTCACAACCTACTAGATAACGAACTACAGACAGGAAGCAGTGTAAAATAACAGTGTTTTTTTTAAACACTATTATTAAGGACCCACACAAAGCCCAGTGTGTGTTTCTGGGTGTGTGCTTTAGAGTTTAAGTCAAGTTCATACCTCCTGCTTCACTACATAGAGTCTTTTGGAGGGAGTAAAGGGCAGTTCTTTAATGGAGTTCTCCTCAACTACCAAGTGAGTGCACCTTTCATCACCCACCGCCTGGAACCGTCCACCTGGACAAAACAAGCAGAACACGCTCCTTTAAAAATCCCCCTCAAGCAGAAGTCAGGGGTCATTTGCTTGAACGGAGAAGGTATAGCAATAAAATACAGAAGTATATCCTGGGGTCAACATCTCAGACGAATAAGAGTGAAAGGCTTTGGTTAATCGAGAATTATTTCAAAGCATGAAATGTTTCAGACTCGTTTCAGAAAGGACACTAATACATGAGAGTAACAGTTCAATACCATGTTTCTGTGTCCTCTCCTCCATGTTGGTTCTCTCCTCTTCAGAGAAGCCCAGAAAGCTCAGCACGCAATCCTGGAATGGAGGAACTTTAAACTCGGTGCGGAACTCCTCGTTACCTGCATGGAAATTACTAAAGCAAAATAAAGAAATTATCAGACACACCACAAGACCAAAATATGCTATCCAAAAAACTAATAATCTGAACATAGTTTGGGAAGCTTCTGAAGACAATTCTAACTAAAAAAAGTTGAGCAGTGTAATTTTGTTTTGTCACAATTCTATTGGTGCAACTTGACATGCGGCAGACGCTATACAACTAACCTTTAAAGTCAATTAATTTTACTTCTACAATAACATCCTATTTAGCATCAGATAATTTTTATTTTTTTTTTACTTAAAAAGCAGCACATTTTATAATCCCCTTGGGAGGGGGCCATTTTGTTACATCTAAAGACAGCTTCATGTTTACAGATGCATTTATACTTTATATAGCGTAATATTATTATTAATTAATTTTAATATTTGCATTCATAATATTAAGATGTGCTGTTTGCAAATTAAATTATTGGATAAAATTAAATCATTACTGTATTTAAGAAAGAGCTAATTATTGAAAATACTAATTTTGTATAACAATTGTTTTCTCTAATGATGTTCGATGCACAAACATAACTTCAATGGCTCTAAAAAAATATATTTTTGTAAAACTTATGGTGGACCCCCAAGAACAATGGTTCCCAAACTTTTTGACTCCAACACTTTGCCCAAGACAATATTGACAATATTAGTGCTGCTAATATGTATCTTTAGTACATTTGTTGTAATAAAAATAAACTAAAAAAAGGATGTCAGTTAAGATCATGTTAATACAACTACATTTAAATCATTTTAAGACTTATTGAGGCCCCTATGGAAGTCAGATCCCATTTTAAAAGCCCTGGCAAAAAACCATAACCAAATAGATAGCTGGCTTTTTCAGGGTTTCTGCAAGTTTTATGAAGGCAAATTTAAGATTTTAAGAACTTTGTAAGAGCAAGTAAAGAAAATGTAAGAAATAAATTGAAGGAACATTATACGTCATTATGTTCTCTAAATGTAAATATCAAAATGAACTGTATATTAACAACATAAGTTTGAAAATACAACTTCCAACTGATCTCAATTACTTTTTAATACATGCTTTAGGCTTGAATACCTCGGTTACCAACCACTAGAATAAGAACATATCTTGCGGTACTTACTGATCACATAAAAAAAAAAAAAAGATTCTTAAATCAAGATCAATTTAAGAAGCAAAATGGCATAAGACTTCTTTTCTGTCAAAATGTGAGTTTATGATGAAAAAGAACATTTATTTGAGAAAAACAACTTAATTCAAAGGGAAAATAAGTTTTCACATTCCATTTACAGATATATGCTCATCAAAAACTCAATTTTGTTCAGTTTCTCAGAAAACAAGACTTCATATCTTCATTTTGCTTCTCAAGTAAATGTATCTTGATTTAAAGACATTTAGATATTTGTATTGGAAAACAAGACAAACTGATGAAGGCATTATTAGTTTTTATCAATTCAAGATATTCTGCTCTGATTTAAGACCTTGTAAAGGCCTTAATTTGTGAACAGGTGAATTAAGACTTTTTAAGACCTGCAGAAACTCTGTTGTTGTCAACAATAACCAGTAGCCTGTGCAACGAAGGTAACATCGTTCAAAAGGGAGCCATTTCAGAGGAAGAGCAAATTGCATTTTGCCGAAAGATTACAAATTTTTTCCCCTACGGAATAGCGTGCACTGATGCACCATGGACAATAACACCAGAAACAAGGACAGTACAAGGTCAATTTTGATTTCGAATTGACTTTAAGTCGGTCTCCATTAAGTCTGGTGAACGCAGAGGGGATGAGAATGAAAGAAAAATCCCTTCAGTCAACATCCAGCCAACGGTGGCAGGTCATTAATGTGAAAGGTCAGGTTCAGTGTTCAACACGTGTGGAAAATGTCACAACCCGAGTGCAGCGGAAACCATTTTTAATATGGAAACGGTGAGGCGTGCACACCAGCGGCTGGACATTACAGCCTCATCATTCACACTTTTTACTCCTCTACACTCACACAGTGAGGGGGATTGATGCAAGGGGTAGTTTTATGCCTCACACACACACTATCTTACATGTCATCTCTGTGCTCCCATGCCTTGTGTATCCACTCAGGGGTGAGGATGGGTGTGCCCATGCAGACTGCCAGCTAAAAAGAAAAAGAGAAAAAGCAGTGAATAGCATCTGGAGGGAAGAGATCCTCTCACCAAAACCTGGTGCGTGCATTATGCATGAGACTAATGAAGGATTCAGCCCAATTCAGCACGCTGTGAGGAGAGATGCATGAGAACTGTTTTAATCAAACCCTCTCTAAATAACACAGACACATCAGCTGCAGACAGTAGACCCTGTTACGGTGAGCACACCTGGGGTTGGAGGAACCACCAGGAAATAGCCATCACTGACTAAAAGACAAAAGACTCTTAATCTAGACTGATTTTTAAGAATTAATATATTATTAATGAGAAAATAAAGGTCAATCATTTAACAGTTTTGGTGACTGACTTTCTTCATACACAAAAGACTACAAAGGTTTCTGGGATTCGAAAGTGAGATGGAATTTAACCAAACTCTACTCTTCATTGCATGCCAATATTACAGAAAAAAACTGGAAAAATTGAGAAAATGTCTATAGACTATGTATTAAGAATTTTTCTATTTCATTAATATATTTGAAAATGTAATTTATTCCTGTGAATTTTCAGTTTAATTTTCAGTATCATTACTTTAGTCTTCAGTGTCACATGATCCTTCAGAAATCTGTTTAATATGCCGATTTACTACTCAAGAAACATTTCTTATTATTATCTACGCTGAAAACAGTTGTGCAGCTTCATATTTTTAAGCCATGAACCATGATGCTTACCATTAACATTATGAATGCATTTACTGTCACACTTGATCAATTTAATGCATCCTTGCTGGATAAAAGTATTAATTTCCATAAAAATAAATAAATAAATCTTACCAACCCCTAAACTTTTAAACATTACATGCTCCCATGCTACAAGGACCTCAAACAAAAGAATTTTCAAAACAGTTCCTTAAACTGATTTTCATCCACAATATCAAAAAGCACATTTTTACATCTGTGTATTACATGCACATATACTGTCCTTTACACTTTTATGCATATATATATTTCGCTCTCCTGTAGAGCGCAGAGCGAAGGGTTTAACTCATCTTTTACACTGGTGGATATGGTGGAGTAAATAAGTGATCTGATTTGATATGTGGCAGCATAGTGCCATTACAGCAGGGTGAGTCAGAAAGAATTTCACAACTGAAAACCTGTTTGTTTGTTTTTTTTTTCCCCTGCCGATTCACTATACACAAAAATCAGTGGCTAGTAAGGATGATGTATACATGTGGATGCGGTGGATACATACCCTGTACTTTTCACCATGTGTTGAATGGGCGATGAGGTGTGTGACTTTAGTACTGTCAAAGTCTTTTCGGATGGTGCCACCCATGTGATGGACGAGATTTACCAGGGTAACCTGAAGAAAAGCACAGTTAATTAGAGCAAGTAATCTGACAGTGATACTATGGGCTGTTTTTGAGTCAGACGAGTGGACGTGCAGAACTCACCACTTCATCTTTTTTACGGAATCCGGTGAAGCAGAGAGACAAGTTGAGCATGGTCATAGAGTAGAGAGGCCTGGAGGAGAACGGCAGAGGCTACAGACGAGGACATGGAGAATATCATTAATATGCATCAAATCAGAGCATGCACATAAACATTTTTTTAAAACGGACTGAAAACCTCCAGATCACGCTACAAGTAGGTTTATCAATCAAAACAGAAGGTCATCTGCATATAGAAGTCTTAAAGGTACAGTTACAGAAATGAATTACAACCAATGTAATTCAATGCAATGCGTTGCATCGCGGGCTAGAGTGAGCGGAGGCCAGCAGCTAGAGTGAGAGGTGGCCGGCGGATTCAATGAAGGAGTGGCCGGCGGGCTAACGGCAACCACATGTGACGACCCCGGGCTGGACTCCGCTTAGTCCACGGTGAAAGCCGATCCGGCGATCCACAGCGCGAAGTTGATGTATTTCCTCAGCGACCAGCACGGATCAGCTCTAGGCATGACGAAGCGGATATCATCCTCTTTTGGAAGGCCAAACAAAGTAGTTTCGCTTTCACAACGAAACACAGCGTCTTCATGACATGGCAGCAGCAACAATACTACAGCGAGAATAAAAGTTACGCCTTCTTTCTTTGCGTGAACATTTGGGCGGCGTTATGCAAATCTTCCCACATCGTGATGTAGACATGTGGGGGCGTGTTAGAACGAGCCATTTTAGGTAGGCGTGGTTGACTCTATAAGAATATCTCTTTGGATTTGAGACTTTAGTCTTTGCAACTTTACAGATCTTCTTTATGCACCAAGAGCTGATAACACTTCAAAGAGAAAGAAAAAATTTAAAATCGCATCATATGACCTTTAACACACCACCTTGATTTCTCACTGGTGTGGAGTGTTGTGTAGTCATATCTATATTTTAGTGTTCGTCCAACTTAATCTTTCTGTCTGGTACCAATCGCTGGCCAGCCAAGTGTTCATTTCACTTTGGAATATCTGAGGGAGTCAAGCAGACACTCCTGCGTACACTCAGATAACCCAGCAACATTTTTCAGGCTTTACAGGAGCAATCAAAGCTGCTTACGAATCCGTTTCAGTTGGAAAAACAACTTTATTTCAACAGACTTTTACTCAACCCGTGACGGCATAGTAGTATCAAACTCTTTCACCGCCTCAGGGGGAAAAAAACCCCCCGCGAGATGGCTGTGATTCTGTGTGTGCTTGCGCTTTTTTATTTCAGGTTTTACCTCTCCCTTACTGGCGCAGTGCATCACGGCAGGAGGCCCCAGGATACGGTTGTCATTCTTGTACAGGAAGCTGTATTCGGGAGCCTGGAAGTCTTTCAACACAAACACCGTCTCGAACTCGCAGTTCTCGCCATCACCAAAATCTCTGACATTGTCAGTCTTGATATAGGGGGTGTTTATATCCTAATAGGGATGAAGAGGAAAATTCATAACTAAAAAAAAATGAAGATGACAATGAGAACATCAATAAACACATTAGCTGGATTGTGATTAGAATTTCTCTCCTTTCAGAGATCTCTCTTTTGGTAAAAGGGATCTCAGAGATGTTAAAGTGCTCTGACAGATGATACGCTGGAGAAAGACAGTTGGAAAAACAACTTTATTTCAACAGACTTTTACTCAACCCGTGACGGCATAGTAGTATCAAACTCTTTCACCGCCTCAGGGGGAAAAAAAACCCCCGCGAGATGGCTGTGATTCTGTGTGTGCTTGCGCTTTTTTATTTCAGGTTTTACCTCTCCCTTACTGGCGCAGTGCATCACGGCAGGAGGCCCCAGGATACGGTTGTCATTCTTGTACAGGAAGCTGTATTCGGGAGCCTGGAAGTCTTTCAACACAAACACCGTCTCGAACTCGCAGTTCTCGCCATCACCAAAATCTCTGACATTGTCAGTCTTGATATAGGGGGTGTTTATATCCTAATAGGGATGAAGAGGAAAATTCATAACTAAAAAAAAAATGAAGATGACAATGAGAACATCAATAAACACATTAGCTGGATTGTGATTAGAATTTCTCTCCTTTCAGAGATCTCTCTTTTGGTAAAAGGGATCGCAGAGATGTTAAAGTGTTCTGACAGATGATACGCTGGAGAAAGACAGCAGTCATCTGTCAAATGTACAAACACAAGTGTCAGTTCAGGACGGTTCACACAGGACAGTTAGACGATACAGTATGAAACCAATCACATTGTATCCGCCAATATAGGATATTTACTTGTACATGTTCATTTCTGCCAATTTTTATTTTCTTTGCCATTATCAAGCACTCAATCTTTTTTTAATACTAAAAGTTCTGAAGCCAAACAAAATGAGTACATTTTACATATATTAAATATTTAAAATGTTATATGTTTGTAATTTATATTGAAAAGAAATTAATCCTTCTATTCAGTTAAAGACACATTAAATTGATCAAATGAGACAGTAAAGACATTTATAAGTTTATAAAAGATTTCCCTTTAAAATAAATTCTCTTTTTTTTAAATTTTCTATTAAAAATAAAATACAAAAAAAATCTATTGGTTTTCCACAAAATTAAACAGCAAAGCTATTTTCAACATTAATGAGAAATGTTTCGTTAGCAGCAAATCAGCATATCAGACTGATTTCTGAAGAATCATGTGACGAATTATAAATCATAACAACACCTTGGCAATTGAATCGCCATTGGCTAGTAAATGTTTTAGTTTACTCGCCAGACTATATAATTAATGTTTGTAAAATGGCACCGTTTTTTAAATATCTGAAAGTACACTCTTAACATCAGTCAGTCAAGCATTATATGATAATCAAGTATTATTTAATGATAGAACTTTAGTAATTAGAATTAAAACGTGATAACCATGTATGAATACATATTAGTAATTTTAACTGAACTGACTGGTGGTGGTGCTTTTTTGGTTATTCAGTGTTTCTTTAAAAAATTTGGGGAAAAACTAACAAAAATACTGATGAGATAATAATGATACGAATTCTACTAATAAGAACAATATAAAACGCACTACGGATTAATGAACTGGTGGATTCATGAATATTAATCAGGTTGTGTGCGTTCACTCAAACTGATTTGCTGAAATCAAAACAGGGACGATAATAGCTGAGCGCCAGCCAATGAGATTGCCGTTTGAGCATTAGTTCCGCCCCCTACCGGAGAAAGTTTTAAAAGCTGAATAATTTTTAAATATCTGAAAGTACACTCTTAACATCAGTCAGTCAAGCATTATATGATAATCAAGTATTATTTAATGATAGAACTTTAGTAATTAGAATTAAAACGTGATAACCATGTATGAATGCATATTAGTAATTTTAACTGAACTGACTGGTGGTGGTGCTTTTTTGGTCATTCAGTGTTTCTTTAAAAAAATTTGGGGAAAAACTAACAAAATTACTGATGAGATAATGATACGAATTCTACTAATAAGAACAATATAAAACGCACTAAGGATTAATGAGCTGGTGGATTCATGAATATTAATCAGGTTGTGTGCGTTCACTCAAACTGATTTGCTGAAATCAAAACAGCGAC